AAAAAAAAAAAACCCTATAAGTTGGGGGTGGTTGGTAAGGGGATGTGGTAGGGATGGAGGAGGAGTAAAGGGGAGGTGGGGAAAGGGGATTTATCTCGACCATTTGGATCTTAGGTCGACATTGATTTTGTGTAGCTCCTTGTTCGGGTGGTTTTTTAAGCTGTGATTAAACTTATCGGTTAATGAAAGGATATAGTGATGTATTGAATTGATATTAAGGTTATTGTGAATGGTGGGGATGCGGGTTTTAATGGGGAAGTTTCCGATTAACCTAAGGAATTTGTTTTGGGTAATTTGGAGCTGGGAAATGTGCGAAATGGCCGCGTTATGCCAGATTGGGCAACCATACGTGATTACTGGTCTGATAAGCACTTTAAATAGAATTAATTTAATTTCAATACTAAGGGAGTTTGATTTAAAAAGCCAGAATAGACGTGCTAGGATAGCTTTGGCTTTCGAGTTTAAATGATTTATGTGGTGGCTCCAGAGAAGTTTGGAGTCAATCCACAGGCCTAGATATTTGATGTATTTTTTTGGAGAAATTTCTGTGTTTTTAATTTTAACTGAGATTTTTGACTGTTTGCTACTAGTAAAGAAAATCGCCTCCGTTTTGGCTTCGTTTACGTTGATTTTCCATATGTTAAGTTCTTTAATGATTAAGGACGAGGCGTTTTCTAACCTATGTACTGCTTTTTCCAGGGATTGGCTAGAGCTGAAAATCGCTAAATCGTCTGCAAAACCAGCTAAATTTACATTTGAAGGGCAGCGATTGAAAATTGAAGCTATATAAACATTAAAAAGTGTTGGAGACAGGATTGAGCCTTGAGGGACTCCGGCTAAAATGGCTTGAGGTGACGAGAGGGAGGAGTTCACTCTAACCTGTATAAATCTACTTTGTAAAAATGAAAGGATTAAAGTAGCTAAAGCAGCTTCTATGTTATAAGAGAGGAGTTTGTGAACCAGTCCCTCCGGCCACACTGAATCAAATGCTTTTTCGCTGTCGAGGAGTAGAACAGCGGTTGATTCCTTATTTAAGCTGGCTGTTTTGATGTGGTTAGTTAGCCTAGCCAATTGATGGGTGGTGGAGTGGTGGGCTCTGAAGCCAAATTGGTTTGGGGGGATGATTTGGAGGTTGTGGATAGATTTGGAGAGCCTCCAGAGGATGATTTTCTCAAGGACTTTGCCAAGGTTAGGGAGGAGGCTAACAGGCCTGTAGCTGACGGGTAGGAAGGGAGATTTGCCTGGTTTAAGGATGGGGATTACAACCGCTCGTTTCCAACTGTCAGGAAAATAGTGGAGGAGAAGACATGCATTATAAATTTTTGTTATGAATACTATTGCTTTCTTGGGGAGATTTTTAATAACTATGTTGGGAATTTGATCAATGCCTGGGGCTGACTTACTTTTTAGTTTGCTTACTATTTTAACAACCTCCCTGGGAGATGTGAGAGGTATCAAGGATGTAGAAAGATTAAGAGAAATCTTATTTTTAACTGAAGCCGTAATTTGTTGATTAAAGGACGGATTTCCTCTCTCAGAGGCTAACTGATGAATATTAGCATAGTGAGAGCAAAGGGAGTTGGCCTTTTCAGTGTCTTCCGATATTATTTTGTTTTTGATATTGAAATTTGGAATATTAAATTTGGGGGTGTTATTGAAATTTTTCGCAATTCTCCAGATCGAGTGGTCCCTTGGAGTGATGTTTTTAAGTTTATTGTCCCAACTATCCTGTTTCCATCTATTAATTTTTAGCTGTACATCTTTGGTTAGCTGGTTGAGATATGATTTTAATCGGGGGTTGTTTTTGTTCTTCTGCCAGTAATTTCTCACTTTGTTTTTATGTTGAATTAATTTGATTATATGATCTGGCAGAGGGGTTGCTTTACGATACAACGGAAAAGTAGGGGTATTTAGTTGATAAGCCTCTATCACCACGTCTGAAAAGGACTTTATATTATCGTCAATTTGTTTGCTATTTTTAACTAAGGGGTTCGCTGAAGTTAAGGCATCATTTAGGAAGTTGCGAAATTTTTTCCAATTTGTTTTTTTAAAGTTAAATCTTTTGTCTTGGGAGACCGTTTGGGTAGAGCCATATATGGAGAAGAATAGAGGGAGGTGGTCGGATGGAGACTCATGCAGGACTTGGAAATTATTTATTAAATGAGGTGCGTTAGTGATGGTGAGGTCAATTGTTGATGGATTATTTGAATTGTAAGGGTAATGGGTGGGTTCACTCGGCGCTAAAAGGATAAGGTTTGAGGGAGTAGTAAGGTTTAGGAGGATTTTACCCGAATTGTTTGGTTCCCCAGGAGACCAGGAAGGATCCTTGGCATTGAAGTCCCCTGCCACTATTGTTGAGCGGCCTGGCATTAATAAGGATTTAAGCAAATCAGAATCTAAATTGGTATCTGGCGGGTTGTAAATAGAATACAGGTGCAAAGCCTTGTTATCAACAAAGATTTTCACCCCTATGTATTCTGTTTTGGAATTAATATCATGTGGGAGAGGGATAGTTTTGATGGAGGAGTGAACGGCTATGGCCACCCCACCACCCGCCCTGCCCACCCTGTCCTCTCTATAAAAATTAAAGTTTGGTAAAAATAACTTTTTAACATTAGTTGTTAATTTGGTTTCCGAAATTAAAATGACTTTAACATTATGGTTTGAAATTATAAGAGATAACTCAGGCAACTTCGTTTTCAGCGAGTTAATGTTAATAGCAATAATATTTATTGATTTTAAGGTCATCATGATGCTTCATCAGAGAAAATGTCCGAGTACGAAGCAATGATCGAGAGGCGATCAATGGGGGATTTTGTGGATTTTAGAAGCCTGACCATATCTTTTAGCTGATTTAACATTTGAAAAATATTTAGCCGCATTAACTCTCTGATGACGAACGTCGCGTCATCTGTACATTTCTTGATAGTACTTATGTCGTTATTGATGGAGGATATCATCTCGTGTTGTTCGTGCGTTGTGGAGGCGGCTTCAGGGTTTGGTGGGGGTTGAGATCGCCGTTCCAAAATTCTTTGCGATGAAGGGTCAAGGAAGAAGTCCAGTGGAGAGGAGAACGGAGTCTCATTGGTCCTCGAGGAATCTCTCATCGTGGGGGTTTTAAGTTCCTTTAGGGTGTTTAAGTTCCTCTGGGTGGCCTCGGCGTACGTGATAGGGTTGGTATTGGGTTTCGATGTCGTGCTGGTAGACCGTGGCTGGCTTGTCGGTGGCAGGAGGTTAGGATTTACTCTACCCTTTCTCATTGTGGACGCTTCGATGTATTTGGTGCGAGTTGGACATTGCCTGTAACTGGCCACATGGTTTTGGCCGCAGTTTGTGCAGTTGATGGACTCACTGGTACAGATTTTAGCGTCATGGGATTCACCACATTTGACACATCTTGGGATGCGATTACAATGCGTGCTGGCATGTCCAAATGCTTGACATTTGAAGCATTGAATAGGTTGTCCATCAGTTTTGAATTTTTCAACTGTAAAAGTGTGATGTAATAACGTTCTCACTTTGTTGAAGTTAGCCAATGAGGTTGTGGGGTCAGCTGTCACCGAGAAGATGGGCAGCTTAATGGACGCCGGGGGGTCTTTGACCTTCTTGATGAATTGCCGAACAGCAATGACAGGAATGTCGTTCTGCCTCAATTCCGTCAGAATGTCCTGTTCGCTGAAGCAGGATGGGAGACCTTTTAATATGAATTTCTTGGGTTTGTCCTGTTTAAATCCATACGTGTAAAATTTGATTTCTCTGCTGGCTAATATTTCGATGACTGCTGAGTGGTCAACTCTCGACTTGAGGTGGATGGCCGAGGTTTTTCCTTGAAATTTGATTTTGAAGTCCTTGTTTTTGACGGCTTCTTTAATTGCTTTGATTAGATCCATAGTATCAAGGTTGATGTTTTCAATAATTATTGGGGGAGTGGGATCAGTGACATTATTATCCGTTACAGAGCTGTCATTACCCTTCAGAATCCGTGCTGGCGAGGTGTTTGGCGTCGCCAGTGATTGAACGATTTTGTTTTTCTTAGCCATTTTATTTGGCGGGCTCATTGTTAGCCTTCTCTTATTCGAGTTCAGGAGGGTTTTGTTGAGGGGTGATGACACCCTAAACTTCCCTGGTGACTTATTCTCTTCAAATTTGTTAGAAAGAACGGCGCGGGGTGAAATTTGGATAGTTGAAAAAACGGTTTTAAGCGGTTTGAAAGACGAGGAGGAGCGTGTACGAGTACGTGTGCTGCCTCGACGGTTTCTAGACCAAGACTGAAGACAACACGCTCATTCTAGTAATAAAGTTTCATTAGGCGTATATATTTTGAAAGAGAATCTTTTTAAAAAATTTCAAATTTGTGAATTTCGCTGGATGTCTTCTCGATTTTCAAAAATTCAGTTTTTAAACGATATTGCCATTGATTAGCCATTTACAAAAAAAAATTGGAATTGTTTTGGAAAAAACTAATGAATGATGCTGGTTTTATCAATTTCAATAAAAAATAATACATGAAACAGAAATATGAATATTTATCTACTTCCTGGTCATGGACTGATTAATATTATTCAATTATACAGATATTTTTTTCTCTGTCATCGAATCTTTCTTCTGAAGTCAGCATAACTTTTTTGTTACTTTATTTATTAAATTCTCTCCTTTGTTATATTTAAAATAAACTCTTAAAACTATTTCCACGCGCATTTCTAGAACACCACATACTAGTGCCATCTGTCTTCATAATAATTAATTATTATTACACGTGACTAAAGCCAACACGTTTGTAACCTTAAATTTTCTGTTTACATACATTGAATACTTCATTCGTGCTACGTAATTTTGTTTATCAAAACATTTAAAAAATATAATGGTTGAGACAGAAAAAGAAGAAGTCAGAGAAAGTCCCGAAAGGAATGGGAAAGATAACAGGGAGAAAGTTAATAATAAATTGATAAAAGGGAAGCCGAAGTCTGGAAGAGTATGGAAAGAACCAAGGCAAAGGTACTCTTGAATTTTTCGTAAAAAAATAATGATATCACAGTGAAATTAACTCCTTTATGGAGTTCCTGCCGATATCTCCTCATTTTTTGTTTTTCCCAAATTTCTGGGAAAGTGTGGGTCATATTTATGTGAAAAAATATACCGTTTTTAGATTTTATCATTATTGAGCGACTCACTAATTTTTACAATCGTGTATCTGTATTTCTAATTTTTTGGTAAATTTCTATGAATTTTTGCGAAAGTTTACTGAAAGCGTAGGAAAATTCTTGCATAGTGCTAAAAGTTCGTAAGACGTTGAATTATAATGAAACTTGACAAAAGAGAAGATATCGGCAATAATTCATTAAATTTTCAAAAGTCAATGAACCGAAATCGGTTTATCTCCTTATAAGTATGATAGACCATAAAAAAGATAAATATATTGATGCCTTTTTTATCAATTTTACTTTTTCTTTCAAAACTTCGATATAATAAAGAAAATGGAACACAGTAAAGAGGATCTGCTCCTTTGGATTTAAATTCGCAGATTCTCGTCAATTATCAAAACCCGAGGACTTAGAATTTCATGTGAAAAGAAACAACTGCTTCGTGACAATCTCAAACGGGTGAAGGAGCAATCACGAGCGATAATTGAGCAGAAAAAGGTAGAAAAAGAGGCGAAAAAGCAGAGGAGAATAGAAAACTTGAAACGAGCGGAAGAAAATCGTAAAAAGAGTGAAGTCGTTCAAATCGTAAGTGAAACAGTTTTTAAATTTTATTCTCTTTATATAAAGAAGTCTCATTGATACAAACATTTTTTATAATACCATAATAATAATAACTCATTTTAATAAATCATTCTTTCTCCACTTCTAGATCAAGAATACGGCGAAAATAAAGCGCATGAAAAAGAAACAATTACGAATGATTGAAAAGAGGGATACCGTCAATACATAGTGAATATTAAAAATGAAATTCCCTTTTTTAATCAACATGTAAATCAAACTGACATTCAGATTGTTGTACAAAAAAGAACAAATAAATAAATTGAAATGTATGAAAGGACGTTGAAGTATAGATATTCCTGCCCAAAAGCTTATCATAGTGGAAAAATAGGATATTTTTCATAATTTTCCATTCACTTTACAAGGGATAACACGTGCACTGAAAACTAATTCAAAAAATCTGCAGATTATGAAAAATTTGAATACACCAATCTCACCATCTTTTCCAGATAGCTCTTCTAAATTCCCCATACGCAATTTTCTTTAGTTATTTCTTCAGTGAGTCTAAACCAAATTCGAAAATTATTTTGTAATTTTTTTTTATGGACAGGAACATGAAGAGATTGACCATAAGATTTCTCTACAGAAAAATAATTGTAGGGAGAAAATATTTTCAGAAATTTCCCTTTGAGGCAGGAAATGAATAAGAATAAGAAAGTAATGAATGAAACCACATTTTTGCAAAACGTCAAATCATGAAAAAGATAAAAGTGGTCCGTTTTTTATTCCTGTTTTCACCCGTGCAAGTAATTAAAGTAATGATTGAGTTACGAGAAGCAGTCATGGTGTGAGCTGTGGATCAATGGCGAACAATGCGTTGTATCTATTCTAGGATTTGAAGTAGTCGCGAACCTTCAGTCTTCTTGAGTTCTGCAGCCTTAGTACGTTCTTTAACAAATGTACTCAACTGAAATTTCATAGTATTGGTATCGTGCTCGGGTCCCATTCCCCAGATAGTCTTCATCCACTTAGGAAGATATTTCTGACCGTTAGAGTCCATCAGACGCTCGTCAACGAGCAAGATAGCCCCCCAATCACTGATATGCCTGATGCATCTTCCCAATGCCTGATTGAGAGCTCGGTAAGCCTGTACCTTGTACCACTCCCCACCTGACATCAATTGCTTCGGCTTATTCTGATCATTATACTTAATCTTGAGGTTGACTGCAGGATCAGTATGAACAGCATAGGGAATACCAATCGTGATGACAGCTCTTGCCTCATTGTCACTGAAGTCAATTCCCTCAGCCACTTTGCCTCTGAAAACAGCGAAGAGAAGAGCTCCAGTAACTCCATCCATTCCGGGATTGTCAGTAAGTTGTTTAATTATACCTCTGTAGTCTCTCATCACTTCATCAAGTTCTGCATTCCTCTTGGGCTCAGTGAATACAACCTTGATCTTTCGAATTCGACTCATGGTGCCATTTTCAGTCATTCGTGTGAAGATTGTGTTGAGAAGTGCATAAGAAGGAAGAAAGCAAAGAACTCCGAATGGAACAGACTCACAAGCATCAACAATAACTCTTCCAATTTCGTCCTGCACCTTCCACTGACTAGTATTATCGTAAGTTGCCTTAATAGCAATTCCTTGGGGTCCCTTTGGGATAACTCGGATGTGGACATTTTCCTTGGGAATCACGTGTTTATTTTGGAGAATTTGTTTGAAAGTCGTACCCAACTCACTGGCGAAAGAGATAATTGGAGAAAGAGTGCCTGATGCTAGAATTATGGATCTTGCAGATTCAGCTAAAGGAGAAAACACCACTCCTGGATTCATACACAGGCACTCTAGGGTTCTCACAGTCTCAGGATGAACACCCGATTTGCTTGAGGGGAGCCACTCTGTCGCCTCCTTCACAAATACTCTGAAATCATCTCTTTTTTCACTGCATCGAAACATCTGGAATGGATATTGATATTTTTCTAGGATCCTCATTGTTGCCATGGAGAGAGTCACGCCGATTGGCGCTCCAGCTGCCAGATCATCGCGCACTTTGTTCTGGTGTTCTCCAGCTTCTGTCACTGCAATTAAAAATCTCTTGGTTATTGCAAAACTTATTCCATGTAATTCCAGAATTTGCTGGAATTCTGAACCATTCCAGATGGGACTGTAGACAGCACTGTTTGATTTAGAGTCCCTTTTCTTGAGGTCCGGTCTGGTTTCGATGAGATTTTTTAACTTTGAGCAGAAGTAGTAACAGACTTCGACAAAATCGGGCTCTTTATCATATACGCTGGTGCAGTGTTTGTGGAATTCTGAGCAATCGTCGATCACTGCGTCGAGCTCTTCGATGGTGAAGGAGGTGCTCGCAGAAGCTCTGCAAATGTCTTCGATGTTGTGCGCCTCGTCCAGAATTATTATCGCATCCTGCAAGTTTATCTGCATCTGCAACAGCGAGACAAGTGTTTTTACACTTTGCAAGTGGGATATCATAATATACGTGTGAACAATGTTCATTCAATGTTCATTGAACAAAATCATCAGAATAACTGGCAATTCCCATTGTGCCCTCAATTAATTTTTAACAAAAACCCCCATCACTGTTCTAAATAACATATTTACATAATAATATTGAAAATAGAAAAAAAACCCGAGGTACAGTGCAAATTGATCAAACATTTTCCTCAAAGTAATTTTAAAGTTGTTGCGGCATTACAACTCGTAATCGCTACACTTCGAATGTCATTTAAAAATTTCCAAACTTCTGTTAAACTTTATATCACAAGGTGCGTTAATCAATTCCTCCGTTACCTTATCAAATGGATTTCATTTGAAATTTATCTCGAGGAATATAGTCAGTTTTACAACAAGTAGTTACTATATTTTCATAACTCAGCTGTATTCACCATAACTCTCATGCACACACTACACTACAACTTTCTCTCACACTACTGCATGACGAATTCTTCGTAAAATAGTTAATAATTTCAAAGTAATCTGAAGATTGATAATGGAAAAACTTACTACTTTACGGATAGAAGGATCGATGAGATAGTTATATGGGCAGAGAATGAGGTCTGCCTCCACCATGAGATTTCTTGCAGCAAAGTATGGACAGCATCCTCGTTCATTACCCAAGTTTACCATGTCTTCGATGTCAAAGGGCATTGGGAAGCCCATGTGGTTGAGAGCATCATAATGTGATATTTCCTGTTTGTTGTTTTCGTTGTAATAAGGACAACGTGCTTTCTACAAAATACAACGAAGAATGACAATTGATGAATATCAAATACACAATGGAACAGAGAAAGATAAAACCTGAATCGATACATAATTATTTTAATTAGGGTTTTTCATAATCAAATTTTTTCCTAGATCTCATCCCTCTCACTCCACACCCACGCCTCATGCTCATTAAATCATCATAAACATCAAGGAAATGCACATGTAAAAATCTCCGAGCTGAAGTTGTAACACGAATTTTACACGGCTTCTGTATATATTGGTACATGATTACCTCGACATGTGTTAACATGCTTCATTGAAATTCCAATTGAAATTATACAAAAATGCACTCAGAAGGTAGGCAATGAATATTCAGCGTTAATTCGCGCCTCATAAATAGCGTATGTACAATCGTTTGTAATTTTTTAAAATCTCTATTGATTATCCTACCGCAACCCCTGTACCGGATCGCCATGTACCGAGGAAAAACCTCACCTGAGGGGAAAACCTGTGGTCAGGTACAGTCTTTGTTTTTTAACATATGTACAATTTATATTTTCAAGAATTCCTCTTTTATTTTAGTACCAGTAAAGTTTTCAGCGATGTACAGAAATTTTTTAGCTGAGAACATTAATGCTGTTAGTATTGTAATCCGTATCGCACATTTATGTGTTATTGCCTGCACTGAGTGACGATATGATAGTGAATTAGTGAATTACATACCTTTAAAGGATCCATAAACTCATTACACAGCTCCGTTTTGTTTCTATTTCCTTGCTGGATGCAGGTGAAATCGCGACTACTTAAAATAGTCATTTTTGTCTCTCTATAAATTGTCCTCCTTAACTCCTTGGTTACCTGTGAGATCTGGCGATGTGTTCTGGACCCATAATAGATTTTTGGAGGTCTTTTAGGTAGTTTGACTGGCGGAGGAGGTGGTGACGTCGAATCTGCACCATCTTTTTTGTTTACATCGTTTTTTTCGCCGGGAATCTTTCCCGCTTCACCCGCTGAGTTTTCTCCTAATGATAGAATCAAAATTTTCGGACTGTGCGTTTTCTTTTTCATGACCATATCCATAAGACATACCTGTCAACATAGACGACTCCATGGACCTCATATACGCTGCCATTTGGACTTTATAATCCTCTGGAGCAGATAACAGATTTATTTTGTAAATATATATTTTTTAATTCAAGATAAGAATATCAGAATAGTGATTATGAATATCAGAGTAGTGATTAAATTTTCAGAAAACTCCCTTCCTCCTTTTTATATTAGGATTATTCTTTTACAACTTAAAAGAAATTATAAATATTTTATTCGAACAGACTAAAATTCAAACCAAAGATTACATTCGAAATATAAAACGTGCGGGTACTAAAAAAATTGTTGAATCTTACGCATAATCATTTATAGAAATGAAAGGAATCAGTCCGCAATAAATAGTCTCCACATTGAAATTGTTTATAATTAATTTATGAAGGAAGTTTCAATACATGGAAGTCTGTACATCCCTTTGTTCGTTTAACTACCCAAGACCACTCAAAGTACGGATCACAGGGTTTGTAAAAACTCGAAACCAAAATACAAATAAAAAATCGAAGGGGTTCCATGTGAGAGATGGTGGATGAAGCGTCAAAACATACTTGAGGAAGATTGAATTGAATGGACATTTATACACAAAATCCATTGAGCGACATCAATGGCACTAGACCAAGAGGACTAATCCAGGGGAGTGGTAGGCCATTTCTATATGTTCTTCTTCCTCTCATTGGGATAACACGATGAGCATGCACCACTACGATGTTCTCTCCATTTCTTTTCATTCTTCACTTGTGGAATGAGAAAAAAAAATGGAAGAACGGAGCCGTGGCCTCAGCGCATTTGTTTGGAGCTCAAAGAAAGTCACAGAGAGCCATGAAATATCTTCAATGATGCGTCTACTGCAGCGATTAAATTCTTCAATCCTTGTTGAATCGTTTTCTCATAATCGGCTTCTGGATGGCATGACAAGGGTGGACATTTTTTCGGTGATCTTTAGATGTTGGTCGATTAATTTTCAAGTGCCTAGGCTATACACATTTTATTGAGTTAGAACGAGTAATTTCAGCGTTAATTCATCGTCTGACATTAAAAATACAAATGGAATTAGTTGAATGTCAGAAAAGAAATAGTCATGAATTCTTTCGATCGATACAGTGGTGAAGACATCATTTACATATCGAATACTCGTTTTGGGATGTACAATAAACCTAAACATGATTAAACTTCGTATTTTTACGTTTCAGACTATTCTACATCGTTTCCAAGCAAAATTAAGAAATCGAAAAAATAGAACGATCACAGAACTTCCATTCGGAAGCAGAAACGGATAAAGATACAGGCGTTGAGTTGAGAATTGCACATGGCCTGTATTATCGATATTGGAAATACATAGGGTGTTTCAATTGGAGTTTATTGGTGAGGAGGAAATGTGGAGAGGTGAATAGTCAAGCGGTATTTATAACCAGAAATCTAGTGAAGGACTATTTGGACAGCTCGACGATAAAGTCTAGTGACATGAGGGCGAGTGCGACAGAGTGGCTAAGATAGAGAGCGAGGGGTTTGGGGTGGGGTGGCTTTTTATTTCTCTGACAACCCCAGGTTGGAAACGGAACCAATCGGAGTACGGACTTTGAGGGTGTTGGTTGCTGGGCAACCAAACGCACCCAACACCCGAGGGGAGAAAACCCTCTATGGGGATTCTCATTCGATGTAGATACAGTCAGCTACGAAAGTCATCGCACCTCTAGCGTCACCAAGATTCAACTGGTTGACTTCCCTGATGCAGGTGTCCTCTACCACATGGAAAAAATATATATCCAGAAAAACATGTCAATTATATTCGGATATACGTCGTCTGTAGGTGATATATAAAAAAAATGCACTGTCCGAAATTTTTATTTGATATATCTGAGCAGATATATCTCTCACCACTGACGAAAGCTAAAGTTATGGTTAAACGAAATCCTGTTGATAGTGTGGTACGGAGGGAAATTGCAAACATCGAAAAGGCCATGCCACTGAAATTTCCGTAATCATATCAAAATGTAGTAATTCGTCACAATGCGTGGGGGATATTTATTCGTGGAAAGATAGCATATTTCGATACACGTCCGGTAGATTCTCTAGA